TTGGGGCCTGGCGGAACCTATGGAAGTCCTGGAATCTGCCAGCAACCTATGTCAAAATGGGGACAACCGCAGTAGTGTAAGGAGACCTCAAAGTGGCACATGGCAGAGTGTAAGCAATGGGAGGCCCGTACAGGGACCCAGGTCACACTGTGGGCTCAGCAGCAGCGTGACCAGGAGGTAACGGGGGCCCCCATGGCCGATATTATGGGGCCTGGCGGAACCTATGGAAGTCCTGGAATCTGCCAGCAACCTATGTCAAAATGGACAAACGCACAGTAGTGTTAAGGAGACCTCAAAGTGGCACATGGCAGAGTGTAAGCAATGGGAGGCCGTACAGGGACCCAGGTCACACTGTGGGCCACAGCAGCGTGACCAGGAGGTACGGGGGCCCATGGCCGAATATGGGGCCTGAGCGGAACCTATGGAAGTCCTGGAATCTGGCCAGCAACCTATGATCAAAATGGAACAAACGCACAGTAGTGTAAGGAGACCTCAAAGTGGCACATGGCAGAGTGTAAGCAATGGGAGGCCCGTACAGGGACCCAGGTCACACTGTGGGACCAGCAGCAAGCGTGACCAGGAGGTACGGGGGCCCATGGCCGATATGGGGCCTGGCGGAACCTATGGAAGGTCCTGGAATCTGCCAGCAACCTATGTCAAAATGGACAAACGCACAGTAGTGTGAGGTGTGAGACCTCAAAGTGGCACATGGCAGAGTGTAAGCAATGGGAGGCCGTACAGGGACCCCAGGTCCCACACTGTGGGACTCAGACAGCAGCGTGATGACCAGGAGGTACGGGGCCCATGGCCGATATGGGGCCTGGCGGAACCTATGGTAAGTCCTGGAATCTGCCAGCAACCTATGTCAAAATGGACAAAATATGCAGTAGTGTGAGGAGACCTCAAAGTGGCACATGGCAGAGTGTAAGCAATGGGAGAGGCCGTACAGGGGACCCAGGTCACACTGTGGGACCAGCAGCAGCGTGACCAGGAGGTACGGGGGCCCATGGCCGATATGGGGCCTGGCGGAACCTATGGAAGTCCTCTAATCTGCCAGCAACCTATGTCAAAATGGACAACCACAGTAGTGTGAGGAGACCTCAAAGTGGCACATTGGCAGAGTGTAAGCAATGGGAGGCCGTACAGGGACCCAGGTCACACTGTGGGCCCAGCAGCAGCGTGACCAGGCCAGGTACGGGGCCCATGGCCGATATGGGGCCTGGCGGAACCTATGGAAGTCCTGGAATCTGCCAGCAAACCTATGTCAAAATGGACAAACCGCAGTAGTGTGAGGAGACCTCAAAGTGGCACATGGCAGAGTGTAAGCAATGGGAGGCCGTACAGGACCCAGGTCACACTGTGGGCCAGCAGCAGATTGAGCGTGACAGGATGTACGGGGGCCCATGGCCCGATATGGGGCCTGGCGGAACCTATGGAAGTCCTGGAATCTGCCAGCAACCTATGTCAAAATGGACAAGCACAGTAGTGTGAGGAGACCTCAAAGTGGCACATGGCAGAGTGTAAGCAATGGGAGGCCGTACAGGGACCCAGTTCACACTGTGGGACCAGCAGCAGCGTGACCAGGAGGTACGGGGGCCCATGGCCGATATGGGGCCTGGCGGAACCTATGGAAGTCCTGGAATCTGCCAGCAACCTATGTCAAAATGGACAAGCACAGTAGTGTGAGGAGGAGACCTCAAAGTGGCACATGGCAGAGTGTAAGCAATGGGAGGCCGTACAGGGACCCAGGTCACACTGTGGGACCGTAGCAGCAGCGTGACCAGGAGGTACGTGGGGGCCCATGGCCGATATGGGGCCTGGCGGAACCTATGGAAGTCCTGGAATCTGCCAGCAACCTATGTCAAAATGGACAAAACCGCAGTAGTGTGAGGAGACCTCAAAGTGGCACATGGCAGAGTGTAAGCAATGGGAGGCCGTACAGGGACCCAGGTCACACTGTGGGCTCAGCAGCAGCGTGACCAGGAGGTACGGGGGCCCATGGCCGATATGGGGCCTGGCGGAACCTATGGAAGTCCTGGAATCTGCCAGCAACCTATGTCAAAATGGACAAACGCCCACAGTAGTGTGAGGAGACCTCAAAGTGGCACATGGCAGAGTGTAAGCAATGGGAGGCCGTACAGGGACCCAGGTCACACTGTGGGCTCAGCAGCAGCGTGACCAGGAGGTACGGGGGCCCATGGCCGATATGGGGCCTGGCGGAACCTATGGAAGTCCTGGAATCTGCCAGCAACCTATGTCAAAATGGACAACGCACAGTAGTGTGAGGAGACCTCAAAGTGGCACATGGCAGAGTGTAAGCAATGGGAGGCCGTACAGGGACCCAGGTCACACTGTGGGCTCAGCAGCAGCGTGACCAGGAGGTACGGGGGCCCATGGCCGATATGGGGCCTGGCGGAACCTATGGAAGTCCTGGAATCTGCCAGCAACCTATGTCAAAATGGACAAGCCCAGTAGTGTGAGGAGACCTCAAAGTGGCACATGGCAGAGTGTAAGCAATGGGAGGCCGTACAGGGACCCAGGTCACACTGTGGGCCAGCAGCAGCGTGACCAGGAGGTACGGGGGCCCATGGCCGATATGGGGCCTGGCGGAACCTATGGAAGTCCTCTGGAATCTGCCAGCAACCTATGTCAAAATGGACAAGCACAGTAGTGTGAGGAGACCTCAAAGTGGCACATGGCAGAGTGTAAGCAATGGGAGGCCGTACAGGGACCCAGGTCACACTGTGGGACCAGCAGCAGCGTGACCAGGAGGTACGGGGGCCCATGGCCGATATGGGGCCTGGCGGAACCTATGGAAGTCCTGGAATCTGCCAGCAACCTATGTCAAAATGGACAAAAGCACAGTAGTGAGTGAGAGACCTCAAAGTGGCACATGGCAGAGTGTAAGCAATGGGAGGCCGTACAGGGACCCAGGTCACACTGTGGGACCTCAGCAGCAGCGTGACCAGGAGGTACGGGGGCCCATGGCCGATATGGGGCCTGGCGGAACCTATGGAAGTCCTGGAATCTGCCAGCAACCTATGTCAAAATGGACAAGCACAGTAAGTGTGAGGAGACCCTCAAAGTGGCACACATGGCAGAGTGTAAGCAATGGGAGGCCGTACAGGGACCCAGGTCACACTGTGGGACCTGGCAGCAGCAGCGTGACCAGGAGTACGGGGGCCCATGGCCGATATGGGGCCTGGCGGAACCTATGGGAAGTCCTCGTAATCTGCCAGCAACCTATGACAAAATGGACAAACCCGCACAGTATTTTAGGAGACCTCAAAGTGGCACCGAATGCAACGAGGTGTGCTGAGCAAACGCTGGGAGGCCGTACAGGGACCCATGAGTCACACTGTGGGCCCAGCAGCAGCGGTGAGGAGGTACGGGGGCCCGATGGCCGATTATGGGGCCTGGCGGAACCTATGGGAAGGCCCGTAATCTGCCAGCAACCCTATGTCAAAATGGAAACTGCACTCGTGCAGTGTGAGGAGACCTCAAAGTGGCACATGGCAGCAGAGTTTTTCCGCCGTGGAGACAGCAGCAATGGGAGGCCGTACACTCCGCTACCCAGGTCACACTGTGGGCTCAGCAGCAGCTACTGACCTCCGGCACATATAGGGGCCCATGGCCGATTAGTGGGGCCTGCGGCTAGGGAGGCCCTAATCTGCCTGCAACCTATGTCAAAATGCACACACACCAGCCGTGGTGTGTGAGGAGAACCCTGAAAGTGGCACATGGCAGCAGAAATGGCGATGGAGACAGCAGCAATGGGAGGCCGACGGGACCATGAGAGACCACTGGACCTGGCAGCAGCATGAGGAGGCGGTATATAGGGGCCCATGGCAGATTAGGGGCCTGGCAGCAGCTATGTGAGGCCCGTAATCTGCCTGCACCCTATGTCAAAAAATTCAACACAACAGCAGTGTGAAGAGACCTGAAAGTGGCACATGGCAGCAGAGTGTGGCGATGGAGACAGCAGCAATGGGAGGCCGTACAGGGGGGGACGTACAGGGACCCATGAGAGACTCTAGACTTGGCAGCACAGCATGAGGAGGCGGTATATAGGGGCCCATGGCAGATTAGGGGCCTGGCAGCAGCTATGTGAGGCCCGTAATCTGCCTGCACCCTATGTCAAAAAATTAACACACCAGCAGTGTGAAGAGACCTGAAAGTGGCACATGGCAGCAGAGTGTGGCGATGGAGACAGCAGCAATGGGAGGCCGTACAGGGACCCATGAGAGACTCTAGACTTGGCAGCAGCATGAGGAGGCGGTATATAGGGGCCCATGGCAGATTAGGGGCCTGGCAGCAGCTATGTGAGGCCCGTAATCTGCCTGCACCCTATGTCAAAAAAAATTAACACACCAGCAGTGTGAAGAGACCTGAAAGTGGCACATGGCAGCAGAGTGTGGCGATGGAGACAGCAGCAATGGGAGGCCGTACAGGGACCCATGAGAGACTCTAGACTTGGCAGCAGCATGAGGAGGCGGTATATAGGGGCCCATGGCAGATTAGGGGCCTGGCAGCAGCTATGTGAGGCCCGTAATCTGCCTGCACCTATGTCAAAAAATTAAACACACCAGCAGTGTGAAGAGACCTGAAAGTGGCACATGGCAGCAGAGTGTGGCGATGGAGACAGCAGCAATGGGAGGCCGTACAGGGACCCATGAGAGACTCTAGACTTGGCAGCAGCATGAGGAGGCGGTATATAGGGGCCCATGGCAGATTAGGGGCCTGGCAGCAGCTATGTGAGGCCCGTAATCTGCCTGCACCCTATGTCAAAAAAATTAAACACACCAGCAGTGTGAAGAGACCTGAAAGTGGCACATGGCAGCAGAGTGTGGCGATGGAGACAGCAGCAATGGGAGGCCGTACAGGGACCCATGAGAGACTCTGGACTTGGCAGCAGCATGAGGAGGCGGTATATAGGGGCCCATGGCAGATTAGGGGCCTGGCAGCAGCTATGTGAGGCCCGTAATCTGCCAGCACCCTATGTCAAAAAATTAAACACACACAGCAGTGTGAAGAGACCTGAAAGTGGCACATGGCAGCAGAGTGTGGCGATGGAGACAGCAGCAATGGGAGGCCGTACAGGGACCCATGAGAGACTCTGGACTTGGCAGCAGCATGAGGAGGCGGTATATAGGGGCCCATGGCAGATTAGGGGCCTGCAGCAGCTATGGGAGGCCCGTAATCTGCCAGCACCCTATGTCAAAAAATTCAACACAACAGCAGTGTGAACACCTGAATGTGGCACATGCAGAGTGTGAGGAGACAGCAGCAATGGAGGCCTAATCTGAAAGTGACAAGAAATGGAACACATGTGTGAGGAGACCTGAAAGTGGCACATGGCAGGGGCATGATTCATGGCGCATTTAGTCAGTTGTGTCAGGAACTGGTGGTTTGAAATCCAGACTAATCCACGCCTGATTCATTTTCACAAACGTGAGTCTCTCCACACTTTGGGTGGACAGTCGTGTCCTCCGCGGAGTTACAATACCTCCTGCCGCACTAAACACGCGCTCCGATGCCACGCTACTAGCCGGGCATGACAGCCTTTCAAGGGCAAATTCAGCTAGTTGGGGCCAAAGGTCAAGTTTCGTTGCCCAGTAGTCAAGGGGATTGTCTACCTCGGTTGGCAGGGTGCTGTCCAAGTAGGCCCAAGCCTGTTGTTTGAGCTCCTGCTCCAGGTCCACCTGATGCTGCTGCTGCTGCTGCTGGCTGGTGGTTAGTAGTTTCCTCACTGCGCTGGTGAAGAAAGCTACTCATCATCGACTGCAGACTGAGGCAGCCGCTGCTGGTGGAGCTGCCACTGCTCCTACCACCCCACCCCTCCCCCCTGCTGCCATGGCAGCGGAACGCGAGCGCACAGGGCCCACAGTGTCTGAGGATGGACGTTGGCGCACAAAGGCAGAGACCAACTGACTACATAGGTGGTTTTTATAGTACGTAATTTTGGCCTCCCTCTCAGCAGGTGTGAAAAAGGCCACCATTTTGGAACGATAGCGAGGGTCCAACAAGGTGGACAGCCAAAAGTCATCCCTCTGTCTGATGGTTATTATTCGGCTGTCGCTACGCAAGCAACCGAGCATGCTATGGGCCATTTGCGCCAAGGAATGCGAGGGACTCCCTGCCTCCATCTCCACAGCATACTGCCACGGTGCGTCTGGGTCCTCTGTCTCCTCCTCCTCCTCCTCTACCAGATGCTCCTGCTCCTCCACTCCTGTCCGCTGAGTGGAAAAACCACCCATTTCACTCAATAATTCCTGAGCACAAATGTCCTCCTCTACCTCCTCCTCTTCTTCCTGTCCTGGCCCCACAGGGGTCATGTGGCGTTGAGATCTGTGCGCCACGTCTACCGCACCCTGACCAGCCATTGTTAACAGCATTTGTTCCAGGACGTGCAACAGAGGAATGACGTCGTTCATCCCATAGTCCTGCCGACTCACGAATAGCGTGGCCTCCTCAAAGGGCCTGAGCAAGCGGCAGGTGTGTCACGCATGAGCTGCCAATGGCTGACATCGAAGTTACACAGGGGAGTACCTTTATCCGCTTGTAACATCAGGAAATCGGTGATGGCCTTTCGCTGCTCGTAAAGGCGGTCTAACATGTGTAGGGTTGAATTCCACCTTGTTGCAACGTCGCAGATCAGGCGATGCTGTGGAATTCCGTTCTGCCGCTGCAGCTCAATGAGGGTGTTCTTTGCGGTGTAGGAATGGCTGAAATGCATGCACAGTTTACGTGACATTTTAAGGATGTCTTGCAGTGGGATGGTGGATTTTAGGAACCGCTTGACAACCAGATTGAACACGTGAGCCATGCATGGCGCATGGCACAACCTTCCTTGACGCAGAGCAGACACCATGTTCTTTCCGTTGTCGGTCAACATGGTTCCGATTTTCAGTTTGCGCGGAGACAGCCATCTGTCGATTTCTCTGTTCATTACACTCAGCAGTTCCTCCCCTGTGTGACTACGTTCGCCAAGGCATACCAGGTGCAGCACAGCGTGACACCGTTGCGCCCTGCACATGTGATATGCCGGTCGGGTAATGGGACCTGGCACGGGGGTGGCGGCTGAGGACACGGCGGAAAAAGAGGTGGTAGAGGCGGACATGTTTGCTGGACCAAGGACGTGCAAACGTGGAGGCAAAAGCGTCGTGACCTGTCCAAGTTGCTGGTGCGGCTGTGCCGGCACCACGTTCACCCAGTGGGCCGTAAATGACATATACTGTCCCTGACCGTAGTTACAGCTCCACACGTCGGCGGCGCTGCCGTGCACTTTGGCAGAGACCGACATGCTCAAAGACTGGCCCACCATCTCTTCTACATGTGAATGCAGGGCTGGCACTGCCTTTATGGCGAAGAAATGACGGCTTGGCACTCTCCACCGCGGCGCGGCACAAGCCATCATTTCTCGGAAAGGTGCTGAGTCCACCAGTTGGAAAGGGAGGGACTGCAGCACCAGCAACTTGGACAGGAGGACGTTCAGCTTTGCACCGTCGGGTGCGTGCTCGCAAACTGTTGTCTCTTGGAAACGGATTCCAAGAAAGACTGCTGACGGAATCCGAGAAAGAGGAGTAGCAGGAGAAGGAGCATCTGAACGAGCGGAAGATGCCAACGAGCGACAACTCCCCTCAGCAGAGGTGTTGGAGCTTTGACTGGCTGATAGAGGGCGATTGACGACGTCGGGTGACGGAGCAAGTAACGGAGCGGGTGATGGAGCGGGGGCTGGGGCAGGCAGAACCGCCGTATCTTTATCACGGTTTTCCCAGGCCACCGAATGGTGACGCTGCATATGCTGACGCAACGCTGTAGTCCCAACATGGGCCCCCTGACCACGCTTGCATTTCTGGCCACATAGTCGACAGACGGCTACGTTTACTTCCTCGGGCGGCTTGACGAAAAATTGCCACACCACCGAGTAGGAAACTTTGCCCCCGCTACTCCTCACTGGCTGACTGCTACTTCTCCTCCGTGCGCACCGGCACCACTACTGGCCGTGGTGGTAGGCTGCAGTGGAGCTGGTGCTCTACTCCGTGGCTGTTTGGCTCCACTGACACTGATGCGACCCTGCTGCCTCCTGGGCAACCCACCGACTGTTTCGCTCGCTGCCAAGCTGGCACCCTCTTCTCCTGATGATGCGGAAGAAATTGCCTGATGACGACGAGGCAGCCAAGTGCGATCAACCTCCTCATCATCAAGTACGGTCTCCGCCTCACTACTAGCCCCCTCGGCTGCGTGTGGGTCAGGAGACAGACCTGTCTCTAGACCGGCTACCGAGCCACTCTCCTCGCCAGTACTTGTTCGCCTGCTGCTGAAAAAGGCCGATGTCTCCCCCCGTTCCTGACCGCCCTCTGTTAGCTCTTCCTCACTGTACAGTGGGGCTGAGCCCACAGCATGCGATACTTCGCTTGGTGAGGGAACAGCAAAGGACAGGGGCAGGTAGAGGACATGTGATTTCAGTGGGCTTGCTCCCGGGCCATGCCAACTAACGGTTGTGTCTGACGTACCCACCGACCGTTGGCTGAAGGTGTCAGAGGTGACCTGGGAAGAGGAAGACGACCGAGCCAACCAATCAATGACGGCAGGGTTGTCGGTGGAGACACGACCGCTGGGATGACACCGGGAGCACTGGCCTCTGGCTGCGAATAGTGCTGCCTCGACCCCTTCCTCTCTGCTGCCACGTCTGCTCGCTCCTAAAACATTGCCTCCTCTGCCACCCCTCTGCATGTTGTCTGACATACTCTTTAATTCAACGATTATGTGTCCCTGAGTAACAATTCTGTGGCCCTGAGTAACAATTCTGTGTCTGTGCGAGTATCAATTCTGTGGCCCTAAGTAACAGTTCTGTGGCCCTCAGTAACAGTTCTGTGTCTGTGCGAGTAACAATTCTGTGTCTGTGCGAGTAACACTTCTGTGGCCCAAAGTAACAGTTCTGTGGCCTTCAGTAACAATTCTGTGTCTGTGCCCTGAGTAACAATTCTGTGTCTGTGCGAGTAACAATTCTGTGTCTGTGCGTAAACAATTCTGTGGCACTCAGTAACAATTCTGTGGCCCTGAGTAACAATTCTGTGGCACTCAGTAACAATTCTGTGTCTGTCCCTGAGTAACAATTCTCTGTGCACTCAGTAACAATTCTGTGGCCCTGAGTAACAATTCTGGCACTCAGTAACAATTCTGTGGCCTGAGTAACAATTCTGTCTGTGCCCTGAGTAACAATTTCTGTGTCCCTAAGTAACAATTCTGTGGTCCCTGAGTAACAATTCTGTGGCCCTGAGTAACAATTCTGTGTCTGTGCGAGTAACAATTCTGTGGGCCCTAAGTAACAGTTCTGTGGCCCTCAGTAACAATTCTGTGTCTGTGTGAGTAACAATTCTGTGTCTGTGCGAGTAACACTTCTGTGGCCCAAAGTAACAGTTCTGTGGCCCTCAGTAACAATTCTGTGTCTGTGTAGTAACAATTCTGTGTCTGTGCTGTGCCCTCAGTAACAATTCTGTGGCCCTAAGTAACAATTCTGTGGCCCTCAGTAACAGTTCTGTGTCTGTGCGAGTAACAATTCTGTGTCTGTGCGAGTAACAATTCTGTGGCCCAAGTAACAGTTTCTGTGGCCCTCAGTAACAATTCTGTGTCCCTGCGAGTAACAATTCTGTGTCTGTGCGAGTAACAATTGGCCCTGTAACAATTCTGTGCCCTCAGTAACAATTCTGTGTCCTCAGTAACAATTCTGTCTGTGCCTCAGTAACAATTCTGTCTGTCCCTGAGTAACAATTCTCTGGCACTCAGTAACAATTGTCTGTGTCCCTGAGTAACAATTCTCTGGCACTCAGTAACAATTCTGTCTGTCCCCTGAGTAACAATTCTCTGGCACTCAGTAACAATTCTGTCTGTCCCTGAGTAACAATTCTGTGGCCCTAAGTAACAGTTTCTTTGTCCCCTAAGTAACAGTTCTGTGGCCCTGAGTAACAATTCTGTGTCTGTGCGAGTAACAATTCTTCTGTGCCCTAAGTAACAGTTCTGTGGCCCTCAGTAACAGTTCTGTGTCTGTGCGAGTAACAATTCTGTGTCTGTGCGAGTAACAATTCTGTGGCCCTAAGTAACAGTTCTGTGGCCCTCAGTAACAGTTCTGTGTCTGTGCGAGTAACAATTCTGTGTCTGTGCGAGTAACAATTCTGTGGCCCAAAGTAAACAGTTCTGTGGCCCTCTGAGTAACAATTCTGTGGCCCTCAGTAACAATTTTGTGTCTGTGCGAGTAACAATTCTGTGTCTGTGCGAGTAACAATTCTGTGTCTGTGCGAGTAACAATTCTGTGGCACTCAGTAACAATTCTGTCTGTCCCTGAGTAACAATTCTCTGGCACTCAGTAAC